GGCATGGATGATGATATCTATAATCCCAGCCACTCTGGGGTCTGAAGCCGGAAGATGGAAAGTTTGGAGGTGGTTTGTGCCACAGAAAAAGACAGCTTCTCTAAAATAAAAGAAAAAGAAAAATAGAGGCAAGCCTGTAATCCCAGCACTCGGCAGCAGAGGTGGAAGAGCAGAAGATCAAGGCTACCCTCAGCTACAGAGGGCTTCAAGACCAGCCTGGACCACCTGAGCCCTGTCTGGAGAAGAGGGAATGAACAGAAGTTGGTGTCCTCTCCTCAAGAACGCTGTTGTTTGTGCCGTAGCACCAAGACAGTCAGGCTGTCTCTGAAACAAGTTGGAGTGTTCTTCTAGGTCTGTGTCACTGTCCTGCTTTCACCAGTGAAGCAGCTGGAGTGTGGAGAAGTCAGTCACAGAGCAAAGGAGAAACAGCCAGGGTCCTAAACCAAGGCTAATTTTTTTCCACAAGGATGAAAACTTGATACTTTCTTACCTCACCATGGCAGGAGAGAACTGCCTTTTCCTGTCAGGAGATACAGAGTGGCCAAAGGAACTGTGAAGCTTTCAAGCTCCATTTCCTTCCCCTCCTAGATCCAGGAAAAGTTCAGTCCTGTGGGCCCTGATTCCTGCCAATGGGAAGGGGGCAGGCAGATTCCTGCTTGCTGAGGCAGAAGCCTGTGGGGGAAATAACCAGACCCTTCTCTCCTTGTCTCCATTCCTTTCTCTGCCATGCTAAGTGTTACTTGGCATACAAACCCTGAGGACAGGCTGTGTTAGTCACTGTTCTGTTGCTGTGAAGAAGCACCATGGCCAAGGCTACTCTTACAACAGAAAACATCTAATTGGGGCTTGCTTACCATTTCAGAGGTTTAGTCCATTGTCATCATGGTGAGGAGTATAGTGGCATACAGGCAGACATGGTGCTGGAGAACCCACTGAGAGTTCTTCATCCAGATCTTCAGGCAGCAGGAAGAGACAGACACTGGGCTTGGAATGGGCTTTTTGAAACCCCAGAGCCCACCCCCAGTGATACACTTCCTCCAAGGTCACACCTCCTAATCCTTTCAAATAGTGCTACCACTTGATGACCAAGCATTCAAATCTATGAGCCTGTGAGGGCCATTCTTATTCAGACCACCACGCAGGCCAATACCAAGAATGACATTTAAGACTGAAGAGACATGGATTCCTCCAGAGACAGAAAGCTCCAGGGCTTTCCGCTTGTGCTTCATACCAGTCTTGATGTGATTTCTCACTGTAGTTCCTGGTCCCACTCTGAAGCTCGTGTGACAGAGACAAGTAGCCAACACTGTGGCTGCCATCAGTGCTGTGGGTTCTGAGGACGGTGGTCTTTCTATGACTCTCACCTACCTCTGTAGGTCCGGAAGTCTTGGAGAATTGCTCTCTGTATTCTGGGAGCAAATTCTTCAAGGTCCCATTATTAATTGCCCCTCCTCTCTCCTCTAGACAATGTTTCTCTGAGTAGTCCTGTCTATCCTGGAACTTGCTATATAGACCAGGATGGCCTTGCACTCACAGAGATCCCCCTGCCTCTGCCTCCCGAGTGCTGGGATTAAAGGTGTGCGCTGCCACACTTGGCAGTTAGTTGCTTCTCATCAGGATTTATTCCAAGTTCACCACCGGAGCTGCTGGGTTTTTGACAACTTGATAAACCTAGTCACACCTGAAAAGAGGGGACCATAACTGAGAAAATGCCTCTGTAAGATTGGCCTATAGACAAATCTGTATTGTCTTGATTAGTGATTGATGGGGGGGGGGGTAGTGCCACTGGAAGTGAGGGCTGTCCCAGGCTGTATAAGAAAGCAGGCTGAGTAAGTCATGGGCAGCAACAACGTAAGCAGCGCTCATCTGTGGTTTCTGCTTCAGTTCCTGCCTGTAGGTTCCTGCCTTGAGTTCCTGTAATAAATTCTCTCAGAGATGGGGTTGTAAGCTGAAATACACCATTTCCTCCTCAGGTTGCTTGTGGTCATGGTGTTTATCACAGTGATAGAAACCCTAACTAAGACACTCGCTGTTCCAAATCAGCCAGTCCTGTCAGGAGAGGCCATCCCCACAGCTCTAACCCTGCCCTCTCTGGGAGGCCACCTGAGGGTGTCTGGATCATGCAGCCTGGCCTTTGCTGTCGCCAGAGGGATGTCATTCGCTGGGTTTCACTTCCATCTCTTCCCTTCTGCTCACTTCAGGTCCATGATCATCCAGCTCTTCCCTCTCCAAGGCTTCCTTTTTGATCTAGCTTACCACACCCATCCTAACTAGAAAACCTTAGCTCTCAGTATCGAATAAGAGAAAGTGAAACGTTAGGGTTTGCCTGAGGTTCAACAGCCTCGGCAGCTATACTCATATTGACACATCATTGGTGTACATGGCCGCCTGCTACACAGAATTTCTGAGGTAACAGCCCTAGATGTAAGAAACTCAAGGCCTTGGCTACAGTCATGCAGTGCAGCCAGACTGGACCCAATGGGCCTGTGGCGCAGGCACCTTTCTGCCCAATTGCTGAGGTATTAGCAAGGGTGAAGGTAGCAGGGGCCCTCCCAGCCCCCCACGCCCCAACTCCCACCCCCTGATCCCTCACTGCTTCTCCGTTACAAACCCTTCACCCTCTCCAGGCCTGACCCTCCCATCCCTCCTCTAGCTGCCCTTCCTTCTAGGCCTTTTCCTGTGTCTCCGAAGGCTTTAGCCATGCCTTCTGTCACCCCAAAAACATGTCCTTCCCTCACCATAGCCTGATGTCCCCTCCGACCCATGTCACAGTCTCATCCCGTATCTGCTAAACCGTCCTGTGACCTCTTTTATACCAGCACAAACACAATGAGGACTCTACCCTTGCATCTCTTGACCTTGGGTCCACCCTGCACAGGGACAGAAAGCTTCCCAATGCTCACCCTCTTCCTGACATTGGCTACCTCCCTCAGGCATTCTCTCCGCAAATGCCACTTGCCTTGGCCCAAGTTCATGCCAAGTTAGCCAAATTAGACCTGCTGCCTCCCGGCAGGAACCATAGTTGTGTGCTATGCCTGGTACCCATGCTGTTCATCCTCCTCCAAGCACTGGTGAGAGGCAGGAGGAAGCCCAGCCATGTGACTGCAGAAGGAACCAGACTTATATCTTCTTTTAAAAGCCGTTCGCTATGCCCATGGGTTAAATGGTGCTGTGCTCGCAGCCAAGACTGGATCTCCCCAGTCCTGAGGAAAGGGTGGTAATTCACATTAGTCCAAAAGATTTGTTAAACAGTTGGCACCTGGACCCAGATGCTCACACTTGCGAGCCTGACTCCATGAGGCAGCGTTAAGGCAGATGCATTTTCCCCTGAGGCCAGGCTCACTGGCCCTGCAGAGGATCTATTGTCTCCAAGGCCAGTCAGGCTAAGTATCTCCACCAGGGTGGCAAGCTCTCAAGGTGAGAGAAAACAGAACCCCCAACTTGATGGCCAAGTTCCCCAGCCATCCCCACCATCACTCATATACCCGGACAGCAGAGCCTTACCCAAGGAAGCTGCGGAAGGACGCTCCTTAGTCACCCTCTTCCCTCTGGCACCAGTCCCCACACTTTCTGCTGCATCTTCATCCCCTTGCTCAGCAAAATCCCAAGCCTGCTGCTGACACACTTAGACTGGTGGCCTGCAGGTCCCTCAGCCAGTTGCTGCTTCCCATGTCTTCATCTAAACTTCCAAGGTATTGACCCCATGGTATTTCAGATACCATGCCTCTGTTGGCATACTTTTTCATCTTGTTTTACAGCCCTAGGGCTTTGCACACACTGGGCAAGTGCTCCACCACTGTATCCCAACCTGCTTTTTAACTAAGTTCAGACTGGCCTTGAACTTAACTCTGTAGGATAGGCAGATCTTTAATTTAGGATCTTCCAGCCTCAGCCTTGAGAGTAGCTAGGATTACAGGCCTGATAAGTAATAGTTCACACACACACACACACACACACTCACACTCACTCACCCGCTTTGCCTATCATAAAATTTACCCTTTTAAGTGTGCAATCCGGTGGGTTTTAGTATGTTCACGATCACCACCACCACCTAATTTTAGAATATTTTCATGACCCAAAGGAAGCATCATATCCACTGCCAGTCACTGCCTCACTTCCCTCTCCCTCCAGCCCTGGCTACCAATACACTGTCTGTGTCTGTGGCTCTACCTGTTGTAAACATTATGTATAAATAGAACCATTCAACGTGACTTCTTTTGCAACTGGCTTCTTTCACTCGACATGGTGTTTGAAAGTTCATTTGTGTTGTATATGTGAGTACCTCCTTCCTCTTTACTCCTGAATAATATTTCAATGTGCGCCATCTACCGCTTGCTTTTTTGCCTATCAGTTGATGAACATTTTACTCTTCCAGCTGGATTGGATTGCTCACATTGTTTGGCTACTACAAATAGTTATACCATTACCATTCATACACCTATAGGCATGTTCCAATTCTCTTGGGCATATACCTCAAAGGGAAATTGTTGGGTTATGTGATAACTCTATATTTAACCATTTGGAAAAAGTTTCCAACTATTTCCCAAAGTGACCATACCATTTTAAAGTCCCACCAGCAATGCACAAGATCGTAACATTGTCTTTGGCCTGCTGAGGCTGGTGTCATTATCACGTCCACCATCTAGATACAAAGCTCTGAGGCCCATCTGGCAAGTAGCAAGGCTGGAATTCAAGCTATGACTTTGTGCTCTTAAATGCCCTGCGCATCCCACTGTGACCTAGTAAAAGTTGCCCTGCTTTTCCTATGAAGATAGCCTGGGTGTCTGGATTTTGAGACAAGGGTCTCATGCATCCTAGGCTGATCTTGAACTCACTTTGTAGCCGAAGATGACCTTGAACCTCTGCTCTTCCTGCCTCCACCTCCAAGTGCTGAGATTAAAGGATTTTGCCACCACCCTTGACTTAGAACAAGTGTTTCCACCCTTTCTCCTCTATACCTGCACCTCTGTGCCCCAGTGAGAAGTCTTTCTCTATTACAGGATGTGTCGGGAAATGCTGCGTTTCTGGCCTTCACTCCTTTCGGGTTTGTTGTTCTTCAAGGAAACAAGAGGGTCCACTTCATTAAGTGGTGAGTGTCTGTCTTCCTCTCCAGAGCAGGCTCCTTATGCATCGCTACCTGAGGAGGGGCTGTGGTACCCATGTCCTTTGTCTGAAATGGGTAGTTATGGTTTGCAGCCTTCTCCAAAGCCTTGAGTTGAGACTGGTAATTGACCAAGATAGTGGTCTCTTCCTAGGGATCCTGTTCTTTCAAAAGTGTCCCTGAGAGCCAACCGCCTCTCCAGACAGAAAGGATACTGGAAGTTGATTTCTAGGGAAGCCTGCAACTGTAGCCAACACAAGGGAAGTGAAGTTCCCAAGTGAACTAAGCCTTTGGGGTCATCACTTGCTGAGGGCCACTGCCGGCATAATGACGGCCATTCAGGAATATCTCAACAGATGGTCAAAGCCCTTCTTTACTCTTCTAACAAGGGATGGGTTCATGGACAATTACCCTGGAACAAATGTCAGCTATGACATGCAAACACCCTCCTCAGTAGCACCCCATGAGCATGTAGTCTACAAGAGTTCAGATACTGCCATCTCCATCTTGAGGGCTCATCATCCTTGGCCTCTGTGAGCCACAGCCTCACCTTGTACCTTCCCTCTTCCCTGCCACGTCTGGCATGCGGGGGCTACTGTCTTGGCTGCAGCTACCCACATGGCTTCCCCTCCTTGTTTGGTTTGGGGTCTATATGACTCGACACAGGCTTCTGTGTGTTGACTGGCATTTGGATATCTTGGGACCCATTGGCTGCCTCGTCCATACACACATCTGTTAGTCTCACCAAGACACTCTGCATAATTGAGAGCCTGTAATTTTTTAAAAAAAAAATGATTCTTTGACAGTTTTACAATTCTGTGCATATATACAGTGTATCTTGATAATATCAACCCCCTCCTTGCCACTCCCCTAAGACTTCCCCAATATATGTCTGTCCCCCTTCATGTCTTATTTTTTCATTTTTTGTTTGTTTTGTTTTGAGACAGTGGCCTCTCTTCATGGCCCTGGCTGTCCTGGAACTTATTATGTAGACCAAGCAGGCTTTAAACTCAAGGAGATCCACCTGCCTCTGCCTCCCAAGTGCTGAGATTAAAGGTGTGCACCACCATGCCTAACCCTTTCATATCCTTTTTAAAAAATTTTTCTAGTTTTTGTTTGTTGTTTGTTTGTTTGTCTTGAGACAGGGCTTCTCAGTGTAGTCCAAGCTGTTCTAGAACTCGCTCTGTAGACCAGGCTAACTTGCAACTCAGAGATCCACCTGCCTCTTCCTCCCAAGTGCAGGAAATAAAGGCATATACCGCCCGGCTAATGAATTTTTTATTGCAGTTTCATTTATTTATTTATTTTGTATGTAGTGGGCACGTATGCCATAGCACACAGGTAGTGGTCCAAGGACAATTTTTCAGAGTCTGTTCTCCCCTTCCACGATGTGGGCCTTGGACTTGAACTCAGGTCATCAGGGTTAGAGCCATCTCACCAGCAGCCTTCATCCCATGTTAAATATAACCCAGAGTCCAGTTAGTGCTGCCTGCACGTGCAACCTAGCCACACACACATCCAAAGAAAAATGACTGCGCGCGTGCGCGCGCGCACACACACACACACACACACACACATGCTCACACGCACGTATAGCAGCCATTAGTTGCTGTGGGTCCTCAGCTAGTGTTGTGCCCCGCCCCGGTTCATGCTGGAATTACTGGCCAGTTTGGTCTTGTGCAGGTTTTGTACATGCATGAGTGCGATAGTTTCCAAGCACTCCTCCCCACCCTCTGGCCCCTACATGCTTCCCACTCTTTCCCCCTTCACGTCCCCTGAGCCTCGCAGGGGTGGATACAGACGAGAGCTTAGTTTTAGGTAGCCCATCCCTCCCCTCCTCCCATCCCCCATCCCCATCCTCACTCTAACTCCAGCACCCCGTTCACACTTTCATATCATACCTCCCCAAGGCCTCTTCCCCTCGCCTCTGTCATGGGCCCTTTCTGGATTCCTAATTTGTACAGGCACTGCGTCTTAAGCACACAAATCTGAAAGTCCGAAGCTAGGGTGGTCTTCTGAGAGAGCACGGTTGGAACCCCCTATGATTCATTTCTGTGTTGGACCTCAGCCTGCTGTGTCTAAGCTGGCTAGCTCTTCTAACAAACAGGTTAGAAAATGGCTTCCCTTGGTCTGAGGGTCTTTGGTTAGGGAAGCCCGGGCCTGCTCTTGCTTCCTTTACCTTCTCTAGAAGAGCGAAGTAGGGTCTGAGTAGAGATATTTTTCTCATGTGTTTTCTTCTCAGGATGTTGTAGTCATCTCTTTTCATGCCGCCCTACTCACCTGATGCAGACACCAGACACCTTCCTGAGCCAGATCCCTCTAGTGGAGGATGGCAATGGGATTAATGCATCCTCCTCCTGAGGAGAAACTACTCAGACACGTGGCACTGTCCTCTTCACAAGGCAGCGGGTATCATGGCTCCTTCAAGTCAGGTCCCATCACTGCACTCTCTGTGTGACAATGGGAGGCTCTTACATCTCCTAGCCAACAAAATGGTTCTCAGAAAAGGCTGGGGACAGGATTGGGCCACAGTTCCCTTGTGTGGGTCCTTTGCTGCCTGAGTCTCTGGGCTATTTGGTGTTCCTTGAAGGGGTTCCATCCCCACCAGAGCCGTTGTCTCATGTCTAGAAACAAGGTCATCCTTAGACACTCGAAGTCCCTGAGTGATCCCTGCCTCCCCACTTTTCATTCTCCTGTGTACCTCTCTCCCCGGGAAGTCTCCTCCTGTCTCAACGTCAGAATCCTAGATGTTAAACCCACCCTCACATTCAAAAGGAAAAAAACAAACTCATAGGCCAGGTGTGAGGGCACACACCTGTAATCTCAGCTCTCAGGAATGAGAGGCAGGAGAATCACCTAAATGTCAAGGCCATCCTGGTCTACATAGAGTTCCAGGACTGCCTGTCTACATGAGATCCTGTCTCAAAACAACAAAAGGTCAAACCTTTCTTTACCACTCCTGTTGGAGGCTGTGTGTTTATTGTATTCTATCTGAGTTAAGATTGATGGTCGGCTGGTCAAAAGAGAGAGACGACACAGAGAGAGAGAGGCTTGTACCAGTTCCAGCCTGTAGTGGGAAGCTGGAAATGGCCACTCTGACCCAGCCATGACTTCTCAGTGAGAACATGTCCTTCTGCCCCAATGTTGTACAGCCAAAGACCCGGTGCCTGGTTATTTCTGCATTTTGCTACTTACTAGGATCCTGAGGACATTGCCCTGGAGGTAGCAGGAAGTGGTCTACAGATGGCAGGTGTGTGTGCTCAGACTCCTTAGGGGCCTGAGGCAGAAAAGTAAAAACTCTAGTGGGGTATCAGGCCCCGAATTGGGCACACTGGAGTGGCCGATGGGGAGGCCTGGTCTTGTGGCTCTCAGGGACATCCAAATAAGTTCTGGGTAGTTTTCCCACCTTGTAAATGTAACCAAGGCTGAAAGCAGTTTGTGGAGGTAAGGTGTAGGCTGTGCCATGTACAGTAACCATGTCACTTCTTCTGATTTGTGTCTGTCCCACGGGTGACGCACCCCAGTATCCTGTTTGCCTCTTTTACTGCAGCCATTCACTGGGCTGGTGGCTTCAAGGATTTTTCTACAATAACCCCTAAGCCCCTTTCCTGGTCAGTACGCTGCATGACTGTTCCATGTAATCTGTTCTCTCTTCTTGGTATGTGGCCCCACCCTTCCTTGAGACTGTTTGACATTGTCTGCATCAAACTGCATTCTCCATCCAGTGGCACAGTCACCCGAAAGACTCGGCTCCCTCAGAACCCGGATGCATTGTTGTTCATTACTTGCTGTGATCTTCAACTTTGGCCTCCGACATTCAACAGTCCCATCAGATCATGCACCCGTGCTATGAATTCAGTCCGGAAATGACCCCCACTCTTCCCGCACTCACTTTTCCCTGCAAATGTTGCCCTTTTCTAGCCACTGTTGATGAGCCCGAAATCCTCTGGAAAACTGTGGGTCGAACTGTCCCGATGACTGTTCTCTAAGGCCACTGCGCTCCTGTCTTGTTTTTAGTTTTAATTCTGGCTAAAACTGTGTCTGTGCCTGGAGCCTCTTCCAGTCGGGGGAGGGCTGTGCATCTGCGACTTGAGCTGTGAGCAGGCAGCCCACAGCCGGGTGACAGGTGCTCTCTTTGTGCTTCTAGGAATGAGGTGACCAAACTGAAATTTGAAGGAAAGACTTTCTATTTATATGTAAGTCAGAAAGAGGTGAGTGATGGCTTCCTTCTTCTCCAGGGAGGGCTAGGGTGCAGTGGCAGGCCCTCGCGGCCAAGGGTAAGGAGTCCAGGCGGGGGAGGCTGTCTGCCTCCTCGGCTAAGACAGGCGAGGGTATGTAGAGGTGGGAAGGCCTGGAGGTGCAATGGCACCCAGAGGACCCACTCAAGAGAGGCCTGCCTCGAGGAAACGGTCAAATGAGGTTCTCGGTCCCACAGAGGATGCCTGTGAAATGTTCTGCTTCTCACCAAGGGCTCTGTTAGGCTTGCCAGGGTGAGGTAGGCATTGTTGTGAGCCACTCTTCTACCTAGGGCCCTGCTGCACAGGACCAGGGGCCCTGGGCTTTCCCACCCACCTCAGCTGTTTCTCTATGGAATTTTTTTTTACAGGAAAAGAAAATTATTCTCACGTATTTTGCTCCAACTCCAGAAGCCTGCAAGCACCTCTGGAAATGTGGAATTGAAAATCAAGCCTTCTACAAGTGAGTTGGATGTGTGATAGGGACTGCCTTTAATCAAAGGTGGGACCACAAAGCCGCCTTCTGAGGAGCGGCAGGCCAACCTAGAGAAACAGGAAACCCTCAGAGTAATTCTGGTGGTGCGGTGCGCAGTAGAGCCCACGCCAGAAAAGCTCAGCGGGTGTGTTAATTTGGAGCACTGCCACCCAGGCGCCCTGGAAGGCCTAGAAGACAAGCATCCCCTGAAAAGCCCTGCACAAGCATCCTGACCTCAGACCTCAGCTTTAAAGGGAGCCTGGGGTGGGTAGCCCAGAGCTGAAGACAATGGCCTCTTGTCTTACTACTGAGAAGCTAGGTTTGAGTCAGAGGTAACCGACTGGCCGGAGTTTGGGGGAGTCTGGAGGCTTCTGCATCCAGTTCTCTCCAATTAAGAAAGTGGCCGCAAAAGCATCAGTGCACAAAGAAATGGACTAGAGAAAGGCCGAGGTGCTGCCCAGAAAATGGTTCACTGGATCCCTTGGTCTTTGTTTAAAAACAAAGTTGAAGGTCTATGTCTCAATAGACGTTCTGGGCTGGGGACGTGGTTTGTTTGTGGGAGTGCTCGCCTTGCAAATATGAGGTATGGGGTTCAGTACTCTGCCTTGCCTAAGCAGGACATGGTAAAGAATGCCTGTCATCCCAGTCCTCACAAGCTGGAGGCATAAGGAGCAGTTAAAGGTTATCCTCGGCTACAAAGTGAGTTGCAGGATAGCCTGGGCTACATGGGACCTGTGTTAAGAAAAGTGTATTGCAACAATGCCAGTGTGATAGACTCCAATTATGGTGACCCTTGCTGTCGCCAAATGGCCTGACAAGCCAGATCCTCCCTCTGCTGTTCTGAAGGGCTCTGGGAAAATCAGAACTGTCCTCCTCAGTGACAGTGCTCTTCCTTAGTGAGCTCACTCTAGCCTGCAGAGCTGAGCTGCCAGCTGCCAGGGCCACAGCCCCAGAGTTGTCCTGGGAAGGCACTCTCAGTCACTAACACTCACTGTGCACTTGATACTCGTGCTGGGGTGAACTGAACAGGTGTATTCCACCCTGAGTGGGCTTCCTTCCAGAGGGGACACTAGGGAGATACTTTAGCCGACTTGAACCTCCCTGCTATTGACAAAGCCAAGAATACAGGATTTTTGTTGGATTGGTTGGTTGGTTTTGGCCACCATCTTCCCTTCATCTGTAAGGACAAGGCCTAGGTTTAGTTATTTACATGAACCTAGAGAAAAGTGAATTTGAGAGACCAACTCCTGCTGGTAGGGCTTAGGTGAAGCTCAGGAAGACGGGCATCCCTGCCTCCCGCTCCCATATACAGGAGCTGGCTCCCATTAAGCTCCCGCTCTCTCTGTCAAACCTCATACAAAAGGAAGCAACTGCTGCCAGGCACTTTTTGATCTGTGTCCTGGGAAGAAACGCTTGTGTCCACACCCACGTGTGGCCACTCAGTTGCTAAGCGTTCCTCCTGGTGGGCAGCACCCGGCACAGACTACCAAGTGCTTTTTCTCGAATCTGAAGAAAGTTTGCAGTAGCCTTGGCAGGGGGCGCCCTGCCCACCTTCTGTCGGCCTGTGGTGTGGCTCGGTCCATGTGTCACCCTGAACTCTGCTCTGCCGTAGGCTGGAGAAGTCAAGCCAAGTTCGTACAGTGTCCAGCAGCAACCTGTTCTTCAAAGGGAGCCGGTTCCGATACAGGTAAATAGTGACAGTAAGTAGCCATTCTAGATCTCCTTCCAGACCCTTCTCTAGAGAACAGTCTCCATGTGCCTCATCCTCAAGAACCAAGGAACCAAAGCAGGGCCTGGGGTTTCCTCCCAATTCCTGAGCCTTTTACCCTCTTCTTCCCTCTTGGTGTTAATCCCACTGGGATTAACATAAAACCACTACCACAACTTTTGAGCCACATTTGAAGCAAGTTTTATTAAATACTGGGCAGAACGACGGACACTGGCCAGCTCCACACCCATGATGCCCAGAGTATGGCATCAAGGTACATCAGTCAGGGACTTCTAAAGACAAAACCCACAAGGCTACATATTTTCCACCTTCATTCAAACCTCCTGCCTGTGTGTGTTCAAGCACACCCTATGCAGTTGGGGCAACCAGCCTTGTTTACAGAAGTGAAAATACACGGGTGGTTATATGAACAACCCCCAGCATTCCAGGAACTTATCTGTCCTTGGGCAAGTGGGACTTACAGATTAAAGGCATTTTTGCTTTAGAGCTCTCTTAAGCACAGTAATTTAAACTTAAAACATATCTTAGGATGTCTAATGGCTCAGAGCATCCTGGGAGGGTATAGTATGAGCTGAGCTAGGGCTTTTTAATTCCATGACTGGGGGAACCTCTCTTTCCCACACTTGCCATTTCCAATTGCAGTATAATCCAGGAGTGAGCCATTGAAACAGCAGCAGCGAAACAAGAACCATGACAGTTGTTGTGTGTCCCCCTTCTGAGGGGTTTGGGGCTTTTCCTGGTAATTCATGAGACGAGAGGAATCCTTCCTAATTTCAAATGGAGCTGGGCATGGGTAACACATTCCTTTAGTGCTAGCAGAGGCAGAAGGATCTCTGTGAGTTCAAGGATAGCCTGGTCTACAGAGCAAGCTCCAGGACAGCCAGGACTACATAATCAGACCCAGACTCAAAGAAAAAAAAAAGGGGGGGGGGCTGGAGAGACGGCTTAGAGGTTAAGAGCACTGGCTGCTCCTCCAGAGGTCCTGAGTTCAATTCCCAGCAACCACATTTGAGAGACCAACTCCTGCTGGTAGGGCTTAGGAGAAGCTCAGGAAGACGGGCATCCCTGCCTCCCACCCCATATACAGGAGCTGGCTCCCACTAAGATCCTGGGGATTCCTTAAGCACCCCCATTCTCTCTGTCAGACCTCATATAAAACTGCTGCCAGGCACTTTTTGATCTGTGTCCTGGGAAGAAGCACTTGTGCCCACACCCATGTGTGGCCACTCAGTTGCTAAGCATTCTGTACTCATTACAACCATCTATAATGAGATCTGGTGCCCTCTTCTGGCCTGCAGGCATACATGTAGGCAGAACACTTTATATATAGTAAATAAATAAATCTTTTTAAAAAAAATGGGGGGAGACCCTAGAGACTCTAGCAATGAAGAGATAAGCTGAGCGGTCATGGCATGCTAGAACTCTTTGCCCCATCAAGAAAGCCTTCTGCAGTGACTGAAGCCTTGGGGAATGGGTAGGGCTGATGTCATTTCTTGACTAAGCTAGGGCACCTGATCTTGGGGCCTCATCCTGATCGCTGTCTCCTTTCTTGCTGTTTATCACCTCACAGTGGCCGGGTTGCAAAGGAAGTCATGGAGTCAAGTGCCAAGATCAAACGGGAGCCACCAGAAATACACAGGTAGGCCGGCTGTTAGGCTCTCCTGAACCAATTCCAGCTCAGATCCCAGAATCTCAAAGACCTAGCAAGCTGAGCTCTGTGAAACTTCTGGCCAAAGCAGATACCAAAAGGGGAGGCAGAGGCCAGAAGAGGGAAGGAACCTGTGTCCACCAGGACTCAGGAACAGGCATGTAACCTTTAGCCCCACAGAGGAAGACAAGCCACTGCCCACAGCACATCACAGTTAGGGGCACCTCACTCAGTTCTGCTCAACCCTCCCCGGCCTGAACATGATCAAAGACATGAAAAATACGGCCATGCAATGACACTTAGCTGTTCTGGAATTACTCCATTACAGAAAATCCGTGTCACGTGGATCCAAAAATTGTGCTTTTCTAGAAGCCTGCCTCCCTCAAGCCCAACAGACTCACAAAGACTAGCCAAAAGGTTAGGATTTGCCCAGCAGCCTGTAACTGAAGGAACCTGTCTGTAGGGCCTGCACTATGGGACAGGATGTGAGCTGGGAAAGGGACTGGAGATTTAAACACATACGCATACAGAGACACGGGGACATGGGTCATGCTTGATATAAGAATACCAACTTTATTGTGCTCCAGGGAAGCTTATATAGGGATCCTTAACTTGGGATTTTCAGCTGTAAAACCCACCAGAAACCACTCCCCTGCCATCAGAAACTCATGAGGGTCTCATGCTCAGTGCAGCTGCAGGCACAGGAAAACACATTGTTTCACTCCAGCAGGCAAAGAAAGTCCGCAACACCTGTCCTCCTCTGTGCACCCCACTGGAATCAGCCAGCACCATCTTCAGACACATTCAGGAACATGTCTCATCCCAGGGCTCTATTCCCCGACAGTTCTGTCCCCCAAGACCATGGCACTTGTTGACACTCCACAGAAAGGAAGGGGGGGGGGGACTCTGAAGCAGAGTGTCTGAGACTCTGGGACCAAAGGTCAAGAGCATTTGTCAATGTCTGGACACCCCTATCTGTGCACTGGTCAAGTGGTTCTCTCTCCATTGATCTCAGAGCAGGGATGGTTCCCAGCCGCAGCTGCCCCTCCATAACCCACGGCCCACGGCTGAGCAGTGTCCCCAGGACACGAAGAAGAGCTGTTCACATCTCCATCATGGAAGGTGAGTCTGGGCTCCTTGGCAATGAGCCGAACCCTTCCTCAGGGACTAGGTGAACTACTTTCTGTTCCTGCGATAAAACACCATGACCAAAGCAACATATATACGTTTATTTTTGCCTAATGGTTCCAGAGGGATAAGAGTGTATCATGGCAGGGAGGCACAGCGCAAGGTGTGACATGGCAGCAGGAATAGGAGCTGAGAGCTCACGTCTTCAAACAAGCAGAGCAGAGAACTGGAAGTGAGGTGAAGCTTCTTATAATCTCGAACCCCACCCCCAGTGACACACTGCCTCCAGCAAGGCCACACCTCCTAAACCTCCACATCAACGGGGGACCAAGTGTTCAAATACCCAAGACTCTGGGGGCCATTCTCCCTCAAACCAGCAGGGACCTGGAAAACCTTACTTGCTTTAAAGACAACAGCATGGCGGGTAGAAGGTTCTACACAAAGGGTGGGGATACAAGTGAGTGTTCAATGCCCAGCATGGAACTTGATGTGGTGACCTCAGGAGGCAGAGGGTAAGAGGATCACAAAAGCACATGCCTTATAATCCCAACATTCAGGAAGCTGAGGCAGGAGGATTACCCTGAGTTCAAAGCCAGCATGAAGTTCATAGCAAGACCTCACCTCAAAGCAAACCTGCTCAGGTAAGAATGAGCATCAGCCTGGGGGTCTCTGGTTTGTATTGAGGTTTTAGGACATCACTTGTGAATGCCACCCGTTCACTTGAGGCGGATACAGAACTCCGGGGAGAGGCAGCTGCCACCAACAGTTAGTTGCTTCCTTTGTAAACAGGAGCGTCCTCCCTGCCTGCTCTGTGAACGGCAAGGAATCTAATGCACACGAGATGCTTTTGGTTTGACAAAATTTCACTTTGTAGCCCGGGCTAGCCTCAGACTTTCAGCGGTCCTCCTGCCTATCCTCCCAAACACCGGGATCCTGACTGTGAGCTACACGAAGCACTTTAGAGAGAAGCCCCATCCCCCTGGCATTTTGCAGAAATGGAGTAGGGATCAGCTGCTAACACACACAGCTGACTGGGCAGGGAGGAGCCATGAGGGATGTGACCAGGACCTTCAAGGGGCACAACAGAACTCCAAGAAATGGCTGTGTGAAGTCAGTTCATGCTCCACCCAAGACGGCCTTCCCTAGCGGGCACGTTGTCACAAAAGACCTCCGGCTTTGCTAGGAAAGAAAGCTCCATTTGCTCCCTCTAAAAACAAGGGGTGGGGCTGGAGAGATGGCTCAGAGGTTAAGAGCACTGGCTGCTCTTCCAGAGGTCCTGAGTTCAATTCCCAGCAACCACATGGTGGCTCACAACCATCTGTACTGACATCTGGTGCCCTCCTCTGGCATGCGGGCAGAGGCAGAATGTTGTATACATAATAAATAAATAAATCTTTAAAATAAATAAATAAAAACAAGGGGTGGAATTACAAACCACGTTAACATAGCACTGCAGTTTGAAAGAAGCACAAAAATCCCCACAAACATGGTGGAACACTTTAAAAACAAACACCCAGCACTCGGGAGGCAGAACCAGGTGGATCTCTGAATTCAAGCCCAGCCTGGTCTACAGAGCGAGTTCCAGGACAACCAGGGTATACAGAAAAACCCTGTCTCGAAAAACCATAAAACAAAAGCACAAAACAAAACTATGGCTTGTTTCATCCTAGTATCTACTATGAAGGATGCCTAGACTAAGAGGCCTGGGCCCAAGAGGACCCTCAGGAATGAACGTTCCCTTCCCCCCCTGTAACTATGGAGGGGCAGAATGTGGAGCTTGGCTGTGCCTGGGAGCGTTGAGGGGGTGCAATGAACAGATACAGCCCAGCCCCAGAGCCACTTCTACCTCAGTTCCCGTGACTTCACTGTACCACGTGTGGCCTAGATAAAGCCTGTGAGTGACTTCACAGCCTGTTTTCTGGGCAATTTTAGTAGGTCTATTTCCCTTTCCCTCTGAGAGCCTGGGCCGTACAGGGGCCTCAGAGAACAAGCTGCAGGCTGGGAAGCATTGCTTTTTATGGCTGCAAGCACTTCTGACTGAACCCAGTCCCCTGATAAGGATGGCCTCTCCCCTCCAAGCTTCTCAGCCCAACACAAGGCTCCCAGAGCCAGCATTCTGTCCAGGCGGAAGGCACTGCTAGCAGGGGTTGTCATGGCATGGAACTGGTGAAGTCTTTGCCCCTAGCTGGGCTGGCTGTTTCCTCTCCATACCTCACCTGCCTGGCGGTTTCCCCTGAAGAAGGAACTGCCTTCCTGGGCAGCATGGGAAAGAGTCTAATTAAGATTCGCACTAGAGTCCACGTCCAGCTCCGGCTGACTAACCACTGCCTTCGGCCGCTAAGCATACGCATCCTGAGGATGGGACCCCGGCTTCAGGCTAGGATCCTAACTGTGTCCCCAGGCCCACTGGGAGCCACCTCTGGACAGAGACATCCGCTAGAGCACCGCCAAGGTAAATACACCCGGCTTGCTGTGCCACTTAGCCCATCCTTCCTCAGCACCCACTCCAGCCCCCGTCACCCTCCCCCATACTATCGGGCCTGGTAAAGGGCAGGGTGAAAGGTGGCTCCTGCACTAGCAGAAGAGGCATTTTCTGAAATTAGGAAACTTGCAGAAAATGGATAGAGCTGGACATTATTAAGGGAGGTAACCCAGTTAAAGTAATGCACGTTTTCGCCCAATGAGATTCTAGCTCTTAATCTTTACGTAAGCAGGTGCGGGCATGGGTCATGAAAGCAGAAAGAGGGACATGGTGCGGGGAGAAGGGCTTTGAGGGGTTAGGGACAGAGCTCAACTGGATGCTTGGGTGACATGCTCAAGGCTGAGTCGGATCCCCAGCACTGCATAAATAACCAAGCATGGCGGCACACGCCTGTAATGCTAGCATTTGGATGGTGGAGGTAGGAGGACCAGAAGTTAAAGGTCAACTTTGACCACACAGTGAGCTTGAAGCCAAACTGGGATGGTGGCTCTGAAAAACAAGCAAACCATTCTGAAAAACTTGAACAAATGTGCAAGAAAGTGCAAAATAGGGGGCACGGGGGGGGGGAGTACACAGAGGGAGTGGGGGGACATGGCGAGGGGGGACACAGTAGGGCGGGGGGAGTGCTGGGAGCAGGGGACAGAGTGGAGGAGGGCCAAGAAAAACATATTGTTTGAAAATGTCATAATGAAATCTAATATGCTAACTTATAAGAAAAACAAAAAAAGTATGTATTTCATTTAATATCCAGAACAAATTATTTAAAGTGGCAAGTTATTCCATAATCAATGCTAAAGTTTATGGATAACTTAAATACATACAATGACATTTTGAATGAGATACAACATTCAGTATACACGAAAAAAGATAAAAATTGACCCATAAGAAAACGTTTTAAAGGAAGAAATGGAGGGAGGAGGAGGGAGGGGTGGAGAGATGGGTGCTGGCTGGATTCAGACTAGCCTGACGTGGAATGACCTTACAGGGGAGGTCTTCAGAACAGGGCATTCATGAACAGAACATTCAGCAAGCAACTACAGTGGCCAGGCGTTCTACTAGAAATGAATACCTACCCATTATCTCGCCTACTGAGTCACCAACAATGTAGCACACCCTGGCTTCTGACCTGTTGTTCTCTGACGTCAGTGTCTTTACCTCTCCTCCCCAGCTGAGGGATTGATCACAGGCCAAGATAGATACATTCGCACTCAAGTGGCTGCTGGCAACAAAGTTGGTCGCACTCTGGGAGAGCTGACTGCCAGATGCCCTTGTGAGGGGACAGGCTTTTCAGAGGATGTCTTGTGCCTGTGCTGAGGGCACAGAGGCGAAGTGGGGGCAGAGGCCAGGATCATGCTACAGCCAGGGCTTTTTAAGGGTTCTGTTTTCCTCAGTGACACAGAAAACATTCTGTGCCAGCAGAGGCGGCAGGAAGAACTCAGGGAAATCCAGAGTGCTGGCTCAGCGAACAGCTCACCAGGGTCTTGGTGGTTAAGATCCAAGGCAGGTGCAGGCCAGACCTAATGCACCCAGCATTCCATCAGCGACACAGAGATCACAGGCTTTGGTTCCACCCATGGCTTTGCCATGAACAGCCAGATACATGACTTCAGAACAGGCCCTGTGACTGCTCACTCCACCTCTTGGAGTTGTTGAAACATTTAAAAATGCCATCGGGTACTACTTTTGTCCTGTTCTTGATGTCTAAATATGGAGTCTGCAGCTATTGCCGCTGTAACATGGAACCATTGGAAAGGCACCTAGCCAACTGAGTGGAAGCCACTGGAACATTAAAGTATGTCCAGAAAACTTATTCCTGTGCTTTTTACCTCTCCAGGCCTGGAGTCCCTACGAGACAGTGCCCATTCCACGCCAGTGCGGTCCTCTTCCCATGGGGACACCTTCTTGCCTCACGTGAGGAGCAGCCGGGCAGACAGCAATGAGCGTGTAGCTGTGATTGCAGACGAGGCCTACAGCCCTGCAGACAGCGTGCTACCCACCCCTGTAGCTGAGCACAGCCTGGAGCTGATGCTGCTATCCCGGCAGATCAACGGAGCCACGTGCAGCATTGAGGAGGAGAAGGAGTCTGAGGCCAGCACCCCAACTGCAGCAGAGGTGGAGGCCCTTGGAGGAGAGCTGAGGGCCCTGTGTCAGGGGCACGGCGGGCCAGAGCAAGAACAGGTGAATAAGTTTGTTTTAAGTGTCCTCCGTTTGCTCCTTGTGACCATGGGGCTCCTCTTTGTTTTGCTCCTCCTCCTGATCATCCTCACTGAGTCTGACCTTGACATTGCCTTTTTCCGAGATATCCGCCAGACCCCTGAGTTTGAACAATTCCACTATCAATACTTTTGTCCCCTCAGGCGATGGTTTGCCTGCAAAATCCGCTCAGTGGTGAGCCTGCTCATTGACACCTGAGAAGGCATGACTCCTCCCAAAAACTAGTCAGGTGGACCATGGAACCCGGCTACCCATTCCCAGCAATGGGACCCATCGCGGAACCATCGGCACACACCAAGTCCTCCTCTCATGACTCAAAGCCCACTGCAGCCTAGGAGGGTTCTTTCCCAGAAGAAGAAAGGGACATAGGCTAAAGCCCTGTCAAGAAACTGGGAAAACTCAATTTCTTCAGAGGCTCTTGCAAGAAAGGCTCAGCAAATCTTATGTTTCTCATCCTTCAATATGCAGGAAAATTTTTGGGTTCGAACTTTAATTTTTCATAGATGTGTATTATTTTGAAAGTATCCAAATAAAAATAATTTATTTTACTATACTGATTATTGCAGTAGTGCCACCTGGGAGATGGGACACTAGCTGAAGACAGAGCTGTCGTCCCCTCTGTACCCTGAAGCCTTCTCACTGGTCCCACTGGGTTTCGGGAGACCCAGCAAGGCAGGCCAGGGCTGTGGACAGCCAGGATCGTTGAGGTTTATTTGCCAGACAGAAGGTTTAACAAAGTAAACACCTGTGCAGAATAATTAAACTAGAAAGTTGCTTCTTACGATGGTCTGAGTTGGATTTTCTTTTCCTTTTGTTTTCCCACATCTGAGCAGAGTGGGCATCTGAAGGGACCGCCGCTACAGCAGCAGCAGCAGCAGGGGTGGGGTAAGTCTGTCCCCTTAGACTAGAGCCTAGTGGACATCACTTAGTTTTATTTCATCATTGTTTTTTTTCCTGAAGAACCTCAAGACTCTTGTAGCGCTTCTGGGTGTTAAATGAAGTCATTGGCAGCAGCATGCGCCGCTGGAAATGCCCCGCGGTGTAGTTACCAGAGACCTGTGCTAAGCCGCCTGAGCGCCCATAGGGCAGAGAGCGGTACTTGTTTTGTACAGTGTGCCCTTCCAAAAAAGGACTATTTCAAGCTCTATTTTAACAGCAAAATGTTATTTTCTTATCTATTCGTATTTTTTTTAACTTTATGGATTAAGAAAATAGAACCTGATGACCTTTAGATGCGAGAGAAACAGATCTGAGGAAAACATCGAGCGCGAGCAGCAACCTTGGAAGGGCCGGGAGACACTCTGAACAGAATCAAGTGATGCCTACAAGAGACAGGATTTGACCATGGCAGAGATCAACACTTACTGTAGAAATGCCATCCATAGAGTCAGCCTCCGCTCCTGGAAATAAGGCCACAGAGAATACTTGGAGGGCGTCACTCACAGCAGCACAGGACCACACTAAGGTGAGGAGTCCTCAGGCCTCTGCACTTAAAAACAACCACACACACGATCTTGTTTGCATCTCAGGGAGAGATTGCTAAGGCATCCGGGGCCCAAGGACTTATTTAAAGGACTGCCAAGGGGCACAGTCCTGGGACCCGGACAAGAACGGAGCTAAACAGCCCCCAAAGCAGAGCCGATTGGACTCTAGTACATTTGAGCTCCTCGTGTTTTCACCTGTGGTGGTAAACCCATACCCATGTTCAGCCAGTGGTTTGGAGGATGCCGGGGTGTGTATGTAATTTTAAAGATGCCATCCTTATCTAGATGTCAGCAAACCTCTTTAATAGAGTTTTGGTTTGTGGACCATACTCTGCCACCCTAGCAACCTCTGATATTGTATGCATAAAGAAGTGTAATTCTGAGGATGGAGCTCACTGGGTAGAGTACATGCCTAGCATTCGCTGCGTCCTGTGTGGGGGCATATACCTGTGATCCCAGCATTCAAGTGCAGACAGGAGGATCAGAAGTTCAGGGTCACACCAGTTACATCATAGTTCAAGGCCAGTCTGGGATTCATGAAACCCTGTCTCAGACTGCCAGTCTCCCACTTCCCAAACAACAACAAACAAAACAAAATAAAACAGCAATATGCTGAAATTGGCCCACAGCCATAAGATTGCAGACCCTGACCTACACAATACAACCACCACACGTTAGGGCCAGCTTTGATTCCTGTCTCATGTAAGACCTAGAACCATTTCCCCATGGGGGCTTTGCCGGGTGCTCCACCAACCAGCAGTGACGTCACATCTGATGCAATGATCAAGTACTGCCTCTCGGAACAGCAGTGACTCTCAGAACGGACAGAGACCTATCTGATCATTTCCATACCAGCAAGAGTTTGGGTAAAACCTAATACATACTTACCACGTGACAAGACAAACCGAGGGGATCCTAGTAAAGACTAGAGATTGCTTCAAAGCAACGAGCCACTGCCATCTGTCAACTTCAGAGCAAAGATCTACTTAGCACAGGACTCAGGTCAAAGTCCCCTAGAGATACATGCAAAGGCTGCTGGGAAACAGGGCTGGTGTGAACTGGGATTTCTATTTTTATGCAACATAGCAGATTGCCTTCTAGTGTAGTGCTCCTACCTCAGTTTGTAGAACACAGCGTCTATGCAGTGAGTGGTAGCCTCGCCTCTGACCCTTCACAGCCACGCGAGGGAGGCAGCCTGCCATTGCCTGGTGTGTTTCTTGTGTCTAGAGCCCTAACAGTGGTCCTTGCCATTTCCGACATCTGATCAACCTTCAGGTTGTTTTTGTTCCCCAAGGCTTATCCCAGAAAATAAGGACAGAAAAGGCTTCCTTCGATTTGGTTCCCAAATAGTTTTCAATAGTTCAACAACAAAGCCCCGTTATTGGTGACTAGCGCTTTTCAGTATTTCCCCGTCATTAAAAAGTTCTGTTTTCAGTCTGGTTTTGCTGTGTTCTGTCTCTTATTTTTCTCTCAGAATTAGTTGATCTGATCTCACTGTAGACAAACAGACTTGCATAGCACCGTCGATCAGAGGCAACGCCTCCTGAACAGTGCGCTGCACCTTTAAGCAGTAGAGGGTAAACTACCTACAAATGTGAATTTCTTAGTTTCCTTTAAAATATATAGTTGTTAACCTTTCGTGTGCCAAAATCTCTCGAGTTACGTTTTCCTTCAAAGCAATGTACTTTTTTCTACATATGCAGTATGTAGTTAGCATAAAATCATTGGTGCCATGAAGATTATTTTTAAACTTAAATAAATATTTAAATACCATAAAAGAATGGGTCTTTTTTTTTTTTCAAACTTGTCTCCTTCATCAAAAGTTACCAATACATGGAGAGATTGATGACTCAGCACTTGCAGAGGACCTGGTTCAGATCCCAGCACCCATGTGATGATTCACACCTGGCTAGAACTTTAGTTCCAAGGGATCTGACACCCTTCCCTGACCCCCTTGAGCAACACACACATGCAGGGTACATACATATAATAAAAATAAAAATATCTTTATTAGCTATGAGACAAAACTGCCATTTCCTTATGAATATCCATGATGATAAACTAAGCCTCCAACCTTAGTTTTTAGTTTAGTTTTGTTTTTTTAGATGGGGTGTCACTGGCTGGACTGGAACTCACTAGGTAGACCAAATGGCCCTTGAACTCAGAGATCTACCTGTCTCTGCCTCTCGAGTGATGGAATTAAAGCCATGCACCACCACCCTTGACTCTTTCTTAAGATTTTTTTAACCTTTATTATTATCTTATGTGTATGTCTGTATACTGTGTATATACGGTACCCACAGAAGCCTAGAACTTGAGTTACACATGGTTGTTACCAGCATGTGGATGCTGGGGACCAAACCTGGGTCATTTGGGAGAGTAACCAGTGCTCTTAATTGCTGGGCCATCTCTAGCCTCTAGATTTTTAATTATAAAGAAGATTGTTCAAAGAAGTTACTCTTAAAGGAAAGTTCATACTTTATTTCTGTAGCATATCAGAGTATTTCCTCTTATAATCCAAACATTGTCTAAGCTGTTTATAATTCTTTCAGTAGTAACTTTGGCAAGTAACAACAGAAAAGGCTGAATACATGTAACATGTATTCATGTAACATGTGTACACTGTGACACCAGACCACTGACTTAGCATAATATACATAAACATATACAACATGAAACTGACTTTTATTTTAAAATATTCTAATTAAAAAATAAAAATATCCTAATTTTTGCATTGGGTGCTTTATTAATTTGGGGGCAAAGGAAGGTGAGCCAGGTTGGCCTTGAACTCCCAATTCTCCTGCCTCATCTCAAGTGCTGAGGTTATGAATTTCACGTGAAAAGTCGCCAGTTAGCTGTGCAGTTATACACCAGTTCAAACACTGCACAGTCCCAGCTCAGTTCTGGAGGTGCTGCCCAGAGGAAGAAGGCAGACAAAGCTGCAGGCATGCAGACACAGGCCCCAGTCACAGAAACCAGTGGTTCCCAGTGATTATTGTGGGATCTCATTTAACACTGAACTGAGACACAAGGAACCCAAACAGGTTCTTAGCTTACAAAACTAAGTTCTGACTGGGCATGGTAGTACACACCGATAGTCCTAGCACTTGGCAGGAGGATCTAAGATCAAGGCAGGCTAGCCTGGGCTACAGAGCAAAACCCAGTCTCAAAAACAACAACAAAGCAGAACAACTAAGTTTCAAAGGTGGGGTATGAGTCAATAGTGGAACACTTGCCTAGCATGTGACAGTCCCTGGGGTCCAATAATGTTTCATAATTAGATTTAGATGATCTAAAGATCTTTAGGACCTATTCCAGTGTGAGAGATTAAGTATCCACCCCAAACTATAAAATAAATCCGATCTACAGATTGCTATTGCGTCAAAATGGTCTCATCATATTAGAAAAAAATTAATACTGACCACTCAAAGCTTTATAATTTAGCAGAATTTCTCAGAATACAGCCTAATTAAAAGTGCTGAAGGTGTTGAGTGCAGTGGTGCAAGCCTGCAATCTTAGCACTTAGGAGGCAGAGGCAAGAGGCTCCAGGGTCTGAGGCCAGTCTGTCTCAAAGTGCTGAAAGCATCCCAGCTTCTGCGTCAGGGCCCTCCCTCCTCTAGAGATGACCTTCAAGTTCCTCTCCTGCTAATACTGCATTCTGCAGAGTCTTACTGAGAAAGCAGTGTTAACAGTGGCTAGATACAACACATTACCAAACAGATGCACTAAGCTGAGAGAATCACTTGATTCCTTCGCCACAGAGCAAGCTGATCAAATTGTTGAACCTACCCAATAGCTCAGAAGCTTTCTTGATGCATAAAAACATGTAACCTCCCACTGGAATTACCTCCAGCCAGAACGTATCGGGTAGGATGCATAACACTGAGGGAGCACACAGATACGAGACATTCTCCCAGAAAGGAATACACGCTCTTTCCCGTCTCGTGGAAGACTTCTACCCGCCGTGGCTGGGCCATGCTGCCAACTATGAAGCAATCTTCTTGTTTAGGGTCCCACACAGCTTGGAACCTCGTTAGCCATCTCCCAGTGATAGTGTTATGCCTAGTAGGGAAAAACAAAAACAAAACAGTATTTACTTTGAAATGTTAAATTATCTGCTCACCTCCTAGCCTTCAGCTTTTGCTCAGAGGGTGGTGACCCTGGGCCTATGGAAATGATACCTCTTCTGGGGCTGGAGAGATGGTTCAGTGGTCAAAAGCACTTACTGGTTTGCTCCCTAGCACCCGTATGATAGCTCAGAACCACCCACAACTCCAGTTCCAACGGACCTAATGCCTCTCTTCTGACCTCAGCAGACCCCAGACACATATACAGCACAGATGCATACACACAGGCAAAGGACTCATACATATAAGTCTTAATTTTTTTTAAATAAACTATAACGTTATATTTTTCTTTTTTTAAAACCAGGGTCTTAGGTAGCCTAGGTTGACCTTGAACTCCCTTTGTAACAGAAAATGACCTAAAACTTCTGATCCCCCTGCCTCTACCTCCCAGGTAATGAGATAACAAGCCTACATCACACTTTGCCTTTTTTATGCAGTCCTGGTAATCAAAGCCAGGGTCTCACACTTGTTAGGTAAGTGCTCTACCAACTGAGGACATCCCCAGCCCTAAAGTAGAAAATATACTGTGAACAATTATACACCAACAAACAGAAAAACCTAGAAGAAATGGACAAAGGAACACAATTTGCCAAGACTGAAAGAACCTAAAGAATTAAAAATATAAATTCATTCATAACACTTAAGGGGATTCACACACAGAGGGAGGAAGTGGGGGAAGAGATTTGAGAATAAGCCTTTTTGTTTCTGTTTGTTTGAAACAGTATCTCCTTCTGTAGCCTGGAAATTACTATATGTAGCTCAGTCTTGCCTCCAACCTGTGGCAATCCTCTGCCTTACTCTTCAAGTATGGACATAAACTATGTGCACCTGCGTACCCAGCTTTCTGGGGGTGGGGCTCACTTGGCAGAGTGCTCATCTATCACACACAAAAGCCCCAATCCAATCCCCTACACCTCATAGGTGTGGCTTGCACAGACTTGTAAGCAAAACTGGGAAGGTAGAGCAGCAAGACTGAGAGTTCAAAAGACACTCCTGCCAAAACACAAAAACCCTCAAAAGAGTATCAACAAATTCGACAGCATAGTAAAGAATTATATACCAGGGTCAAGTAGAAGACAAGGATGGTCCACCATAATGAAACTCAAACTGTAACTACACCACCCTAACAAAATGAAGGACAGGCACATGATCGTCACAACTTGAAAATGAATCCATGATGCACTCAACCAACTGGGAGCAGAGGAATCACAACACAGTGAAGGCCACGTGTGAGAGGCCCACAGTGCATCAGACCAGATGAGGACCGATAGCTTTCCTCTGGGTAAGTGAGGTAAGGGCGGCCTTTCACCACTAACATGGAACCCGGTACCAGTTATCAAACTCTGGTCATTTAGCCGGGGGTGGGGGTAGGGTGGGATGGTGTTGTGTTCACTGATGTATTGATCACATTCATAAAAACAAAATATGATGAAAGATTCCACACATTTAAAAATCTACTTAAATATATTTCAAGCAATGTTACAGGATACAGGGACAAGGAAGATAGTCAGCTGATAAAATTCTTACCACATAAGCGTAAGAAGGAGTTCAATCCCGAGAACCTATTTAAACTTCCACATGGGTGCAGTTATGCAAGCCCACACACTCACACACAAATTTTTAAAATCAACAAGCATAAAAATCTGTTGTATTTAAACCAGGCAGCAGTTTCAGCTGTTGAGGAAGGTCACTTCCATCCAGGAGTTTGGGCTAGCCTGGACAAACAGCAAGACTCCATTCCATCATTTAAAGGAAAATACAAACAAAACAAAACAAACCTGCAGGCTAAAAGGCCTTCTCCTTGTCTAAGGCCATAACAGGAAGAGAGTTCCTGGGAACGGTTATATTCAGGACATCAAGGTTTCATGTCGAGATACATGTCTACTTCCCAGCGTCACGCTTGTGGTGGGATGTTATGGTGTGTATATAACATGCACCACAGGCTCCCGTGCTGTGCATTCATGGCCCCAGCTGCTGTTACTGCTATGAGCAACTGTGGATCCTGTAGGAAGTGGGGCCTCCCTGGAAGAAGTCACTGGAGTGTAGACCTTGCGGTTTACAGCTAAACAGGGAGAATCCCAGCCTTTTAGGAAACTCAGTTTCACTGAGATATGAGGACATAAAGAATCTCAGCGGCAAGCTGTCACCTCGAAGCCACCTGCTGCCACGGAGCAACATACCCACAGACAGACACACCAGCCTGTAATTCCAGCTCCAGGGGAACCGACACACACACATGACAAATACACATATATAAAAATTTTAAATAAAAGTAAACCTTTAAGAGAAAAGGAAATCAGCCCCAGCTACATAATGAGTTATCAGCCAGCCTGGGCTATACAAACCTCAGCCTCAAAGCAAAAAGAAAACACTCACGCAAAAACCCACATGAATAATGACAGTCAATTTTAAAGATTAAAAGACTGATAAGAAATGTTAATGACTAAGTCTTATTTTGGGAAATGTGGTTTTTATAATGAAGAGACATTTGTGTTTTATCCTTCTCTCTGAACAGGATAGAACTGGTTATAACTGTGCCTCTCTAGACCAGTAATTTTTTACATTTTTTTTAGCACTTAGCCAAGAGCAAGAACAATCATTATATAAATAGTGTGACCTACAAAAAGTTAATTGTTAGTACACATTAATAG